GACCCCCCCCACCCCCCCCCCCCCCCGCCCGCTACACCACTGCAGCAAAGGCAAACTAACTTAGAGTAGATGAGAGGCCAGCGGCACAGCACTGGAGACCTGCCTTGTCTACAGCCCAGAAAGCAAGTCTACCACTTCCCCCACCCCAATCCTGGGACCACTTGCAGAGTATGAGAGAAGTTACCCCTCCATGGGCCATTCACCGCTTGGCTTCTCTGCCAGCCAGGAGCTAACTAATACCAGCTGCGCTGGTGGCTTACGATACAGGGCAAGAATAACAGTAAGAACCTCTGAACAGCGGCCAGACGCTTTTTGGTCACTGGGGACCTAACTTGGATTTGCAATAGCCGTTTAGAGAGGAAGAGCTCTACAACCTATTTCCAAACCCCAGGAGCTATCCATCCTGGCCAACCATAGGAGACTTTGCCCTCTAATCTTTCCCGGACTCGACCTAGCTGATTCAATCCAAGGTTCTTACTCAGTCCTGGCCTGTGAACTTCTCGCAGGGTGTGCGTCATGCCGGCTTTGTAGCCCAGAAAGGCTGTCATGTGGACTGGTTTGCTGGGATCATCCTTGGGCCAGGTCTTCACCTTCCCTCGGTGACGACGGCTTCTCTTACGAGGGAGGAAGCCAAGGTGGCCATGTCTGGGAGCCGAAAACTTGCGGTGGGACTGGGGGAAAGGCAGGAAACAAAAAGGATTCCATTTTACCTTCAAACCCAGAAGATTCTAGGTCTATCTAATGCTGATTGATAACAGTAGCAATCTTTGGACTTCCGCATGTGCTGGATCGGTACTGTGTAGATTACAGATTTTGGGACAGCAGTTTGTTACATAGGATGTTTAGAAATAAAAAAAGAATTGAATTACTAAAGCTGTTATTGTATCTCGTCCACAGAAACATAGATGGATGGGATGAATAATGTCAAAGTCTTCGAATCAGACGTGAGACAGAAATGTCACAAATTATTTTTCCCTCCTTTCCAGAAACAGAGGGGAAAACTTCCAGTTTATAAATGTAATCCCCATCCTGTGTCCAAGTATTCAAGCCTCTGTGAGAACTGCTGACTAGGATTTGCTAAATAAAACACTGTGACTACAATTGCTCTTCTTTCTGCTAAGAGAACCACAAAGTTTTCCAGATTTGCCCCACTTTGGTCTTCATTGTTATTCTTCAGTTGTGTGACAGCCACACGTAAAGAGTCCGCTCTGGGGTTGTACAGCATTGTGTTTGATCCTGCACAAACCCAGAGTGAAAGCTAGGCCCTGCCTTCCTGTCCTGACAGTCTCATTGAGACAAGTCACCAACAATGGCAGTAACTAACAATGGGAAGATAGGGTGGAGGTGACAAAAGGAAACCATAACAAGAACATGCGCATGTACAGGCCAAATATGAACGTTGTCAAGCAAATTATGAGAATTAACCAGAAAATCATGAATTTGCATGGGGCACCGCAAACCACCGTTGGAGGAAGTTGGAGAAATTTTCACAATAGCAGACTGAGGTTAAGAGAATCAGCCCAGCAGCAAAGGGATAAACGTACACACGCTACAACTCCCTTTTGTTTATTCGGGAACGCCAGTATCACGTTTCCCCTTTCCCCTAAACTTATCCTCCAATCCAAAGTGGAACTGCTTGCTGATTTCAAGCCAGTTTCAAATGTGTTAATCTGCCAAATGCGTCTCCCAAAGCCATTAAAAGTTCTAACCCACAAGCGACAAGACAGCAACAGGGAACATTACAGACCATGGGGCGTCTTCGGCACGGGGCAGCGGCACAACGAGGCAGTCACCAAGTGCCTCTACAGTCTAATACCTAAGATGTTTACCAGTCTGAAGACACAAATTTAGCTGCTGGCTTCATGCAACGCTATATTCATTTCATACTCAGCAAATCGGCCAGGCTCTCGCTCTAACAACCGCTGGGACGGGGTAAAGGTCAGATGCCAGTGTCTCAATTTACCGCACATGAACGGAGCGTGAATGGAGGGAATTACAATTATTATCTTCAGCACAACGTCCCAAGGCAAAATTCTGACCTCACCTACACTTACACCAGCCTGTCACCTCCCGCTAGATACCTGCATTCCTAAATAACTACCGGCAGAGTTTTTTTTCTCAGGCATGCCTCCCAGGCTGGCATCTCCCCAAGGACATGGGGCTAGGCCAGATCCTCCCCAAGGGGATTTATGATTGCTTTGTAATACTGGGGCTGGGATAAATTCCCCTCCTCAGTAGTGTGATTTCCTGTACTTAGCAGCACTATATTTAGAACGGTCACTAAAGGACAGTTAAAATATTCTGTGTCTATCCCGCTACGTAATATGCCAAATCCCGAGCTCAGACCCCAATCTTGCAATGAGCTCCATGAAGATGGAGCCCTGAGCCCATGCAATGCTCATCACAGGACTAGGGTTTTCAACAGACCAAAAGCATCGATTGCACTAGGTGCGGATAGCACAAGTATCTGAGGGTTCCCTCCTCCCCCTCCAGCACTGTATTGTCTCCTGTACTCTGTTCAGCCCAAATGATGAGGGCTTTCGCTGCTCCACTTGGAGAGACGGTACCACAGGCAGTCCAACAGATCGCAAGCAAGGAAGCATTTCTTTGGCCCTTTCATTTTGCAACACTGACACAGCATCTATTCCACAGCAGTAGCACTTCAAGTGATATTTCATTAGACCTGTCCACAGAGGACATTGGGCAACATTTGTGGTGCGCTTTAGCTCACACAACTCGCTGTGCAGTAAGAAAGAGGTTAAAATCTAACAGTAAAGTAAAATTTAATAGCCCTTGTTTGTTTTACTCATTTTAATTACTTTAGTTGAGGCCTTTCATAGCCATATCCTGCCTATCCAGAGACAAACAGGATCTGACAGGATATATGAGAGTCGGTCAACACTGTTCTGATTTTCAAATAATTTTCGTCGACCTACAAACAGCAGATCACAAGATCCCATCTTTGAGCAGAAGTGGGACATGTTTTGGGGGAGGGAGGGAGAGAATGTAGGTCAGTACTATGTTGGGCTGATATTTGCACTAAGTGATTTGAAAAAGAGAGGCAAATTAACTGTCTCATAGGATGCCACCCAGACTAGCTTTTTGTTGGTTTTTTTGTTACTAGCTTGGCTTGGTTTGCAGAAAAGCCACTTCAAGCTCAACAGATGCCAGATCTTCTCATGTCTCTATATTTAGTAATAAAAATAAAGCCCCTGTCTGCGGACAAAAAACGACAGGCATCATTACTGGATTAGGTTTAATCCTTTCAAAAATAGCCCCAGCCACGTCTCAGAACAAGTGAATGTCACCACAATATCCAGCTAAAGCATCACTGAAAGTAGTGGGCATGTTGCGGCTATGGTCCCAGGGCCTGATCCTGCCCCCGTTGAGGTCTGAAGGAATTCTGCCCTCGACTTTGATGAAAGCATAACCCTACCCTCACCCCAAGCTACAGTACCACTGACGGGGGTACTTGAACAGGTGGTGGTACCCTATCATAACACACAGGCTGGTGTGTTCGCGGGTGTGTGAATTCAGCGTGCGCTCTCCTGGATGGGATCCAGCAAGGTGCCTGTGTGGGATACCACAGGAGAACTCAGAGGCAGTGGAGACAGCGCTGTGGCTGGGGCAGCAGGACTCCTGGGTTGCACGTCTGGCTCCCAGAGCCAGCAAAGAGGCCAGGACTCCCCAGAGAGAGTCAGCAAATGGTCTGGTAGCACGTAGATGGTATCATGAGCTTTTGTGGGCACAGCCCACTTCTTCAGATGACCGGAGTTATGATTAGAGGATAAGAAAACTCGAAATAAAGAGAAGAGAAGGGGGACGGGGAAAGATGTTCTGTCGCCCACCTCCCTACCTCCATGCATAAAGTATCATGAGAAAGGGTGCTAAACCTGAGTGGATAAAGATCAAAGTCAGTGGATGGATAAGGCAGGAAGGATACCATTCAGAAAGTAGAATAGTGATAGAGATGCAGCCTTGTTAGTCTGGTCTAGCTGAAACAAAAGACAGGACTGTGCAGCACTTTAAAGACTAACAAGATGGTTTATTAGGTGATGAGCTTTCATGGGCCAGACTGAAGTGGATCTGGCCCATGAAAGCTCATCACCTAATAAACCATCTTTGTTAGTCTTTAAAGTACTGCACAGTCCCGTCTTTTGTTCCATTCAGAAAGTAGTTAGCACCTTCATTGATAAGGGTTCCACTACCCCATCTCTCGATTATGTCCATAATTAATTGAATTGAATTTGCATATGTATTGTAATTCCAAGCTTTCCCTGTGGATTTGACTTGAGAAACTGGCCTGTGACAAGACTGCCACCTTCAGATCTGTGAGATTACGGTGAGGTGAACAGAAATGTTCTGCCACTGGCGTCTGAGTATCTTCTTTCCGTAGATCCAATGTGTGTCCATTGATGCTTTCCCGTAGAGAACGTCTAGTCTGACCAATAATACCTAGATCCAATGTGTGTCCATTGACTCTTTCCGGTAGAGAATGTCCAGCCTGACCCATAATACGTAGATCCGATGTGTGTCCATTGACACTTTCCCATAGAGAAGTCCAGTCTGACCAATAATACGTAGATCCGACGTGTGTCCATTGACACTTTCCCGTAGAGAAGTCCAGCCTGACCAATA